TCCTGTGAAATAATAGAAATATATATTTGGTCTATGCCCCTGGTTCCTGACACGGAGCTCCTGAAATCCTTATAATTTCTTGGGTAATCAGAATGTCTTGTTTTAATTTAATGACTCTGGGTGGGCCTCCGGATGGCTCCTGGATGAGAGCTGGTCACTGGAAAGAACAAGCCAAGAGTAGAAGCTTGGAATTTTCAGCCCTGCCCCCCATTCTCTTGAATGAAGGGAGAAGGATGGAAATGGAGTTAGAGAATGATCATGCCTATGGGATGAAGCCTCCGTAAAGTGGCAAATGAAGAGCTTTGGGGGGCTTCTAGGTGGGTGAGCACATGAAGGTGCTGAGGAAGTGGTGCACCTGGGGAAGCTCTGCACCCCTTCCTGTACACCCTGCCTTCTGCCTCACTTCCGTCTGGATGTTCACCTGTGTCCTTTGACATTTCTTTTATAATGAACTGGTAACTAAGTAAACTACTTCCCTCAGTTCTGTGAGCCACTCTGGCAACTTAATCCAATCCAAAGAGGGGGTCCTGGGAACCTCTAATTTTTTAACTGGTAGATCAGAAGCACAGGTGAAAATCTGTGCTTGTGGGGCTGAGCCCTTAACATATGGGATCTGACACCATCTCCAGGTAGATCGTGTCAGAGTTGAGTTAAATTGTAGGGCACCCAGCCCATGTCACAGAAAATTGCTTGGTGGCCAGAACTGTTGGGAGTGTGGCATGAGGGTAAAGGAGATGCCTAAGAGACAGACACAGTAGGAAGGACTGGGTTTTTCCATCTATGGAAGGATGACTGGGTGGATTTTTTTCCCCTGATACACATTCCCTCTCACATTTTTTTTTTTTAGATTTGTTTATTTTAGAGAGAGAGAGAGCAACCAGGAGGGGCAGAGGGACAGGGAGAGAATCTGAAGCAGACTCCATGCTGAGTGCTAGCCCAATGCAGGGCTCCATCTCACAACCCTGAGCCAAAACGAAGTCAGACGTTAGGACGCCTGGGTGGCTCAGTGGTTGAACATCTGCCTTCGACTCACGACACAATCTGGAGTTTCGGGATCGAGTTCACATCGGACTCCTGCATGGAGCCTGCTTCTCCTCCCTCTGCCTGTGTCTCTGCCTCTCTCTGTGTCTCTCATGAATAAATAAATAAATTTTTTTTAAAATTTTTTTTTATTTTTTAATTTTTATTTACTTAGGATAGTCACAGAGAGAGAGAGAGGCAGAGACACAGGCAGAGGGAGAAGCAGGCTCCATGCACTGGGAGCCCGATGTGGGATTCGATCCCAGGTCTCCTGGATCGCGACCTGGGCCAAAGGCAGGCGCCAAACCACTGTGCCACCCAGGGATCCCAATAAATAAAATCTTAAAAAAAAAAAGTAAGACGTTTATCCAACTGCACCACCAAGGCACCTCCCCCCTACCACCCCACCTTTTTCCTTTTTAAGAGAATCTTGATTTTGTTCAGGTATCTACCTTTCTTTAGTAGCCAGATGATGTGAGGGAAGCCTCAGGAGTGGGGTCTGAATATATGTGCTCAATATTGTGGTTCTATGCCCCCTTCCAGTGATTGTTGTAGGCATAGGTGTATGAAACACGTCAGGCAAATAAAATGTGAGAGCAAGTCAGCTTGGAATTGTTGGCTTAATCCTTCTTTGTTTTAAAAAAAGAGGCCCAAGAAGAGATGGCCTTTTGTTATTGCCTCTGAATGTGGGTGTGATGTCTGGAATTGCAGCGGCCATCTTGAGGCCATGAGGTGGACAAGCCTGAATGGATCTTTTAGTACTTAGCGGAAGACATTGAATTAGTCAACTCAGGAACTGCCCTGACTCATGATCTCTTATCATGTAGGATAATCAATTTCTCCTTTGTTTCAACCATTTTGAGCCGAGTGTCCTGTTACATACATCCTTGGCCTCTGTATTGCCCCTGATTCATATAGAATATGTGGAGGCAGCCCTGCTTGCAGATTAAAGCATCCAAGTGATGGTAACTTTTTTAGTTCGTCCCCCATCCTGTGGTAAGATCTCTCGCACAGAGGCTGCTTTCCCAGCTCCGGCTGAGTGGGCTGTATACCATGAAAACTGCAAGAGCAGTGGATGCTTGTTCACGACCTGAACAACTGTACCAGCTTCCTGACTTAGATGTGAACCTCCCTGGCTGTAGCAGAGAGGGTCAGAGGCAGAGGCCTGACCCAAACTAGACCCCATCAGAGTCTGTCTGCTAGCTACAATTTTAGAGCTGGGACACTAGGGGTTCTTGGTACTTGACATTTCAAGGGCATATTTGGCTACTCTGGGTGAAGCAGAAGGGGGTCTGTGGAGAGACAGAAAAATAAAGTAGAAGCCCACAAGGGAAGCTACACATTTAGAGAGAGACAGAGACAGAGAGAGATTCTGAAAAAGGGAGACAATCTTGATTTCACACAGCTTTTCAATTCTGTTTCTTGTCCCTGGTGAGGCCCAGAGAACTAGCTCTTGCTTGGATTCTAAACTTCCAATAACGTTGTCGTTTTGCTTAAGTCAGCTTAAACGGATTTTATTTCTTGCAACCGAAATCCCTAAACAAAATCTTGGGAACCGTTAATGATGAGGTCCTGATCACAAGCTCTGGAGTAGAACATTGTGAGAAAAGTATCCTGAGCCTGGATATCTGCTGTGAGACATCGAGGGGCATGTATCTCAAACCTCTGATCCTTACCGGAGGGCATGCTGGGAGGTGTAATCCTAGTGCCCAATCTCTGCCACAGGGTCTCGTGGGAGATGCAGTCCATTCTTGGTGTAAGGCATCATGGGAAATGTATTCCTAGCCTCCAGTCTCTGCTGGAGGGCATCGTGGTGGATGTATGTAATCCTAGCCTCCAACCCCTGTGGGAGGGAATCATAGGAAGGGTGAAACTACCCTCAATTTTAATTGTAGAGCTGCTTAGAAAATGTTATCTTGGCCTCATCTCTGCTGTAGGGCATCATGAGAAATACAGCCCTTGCCTGTTTTTTGTTGTAAGATACCATAGAAGATGTGCTCCTTCCTTCCCTCCCTCCCTCCCTCCCTCCCTCCCTCCCTCCCTCCCTCCCTTCCTTCCTTCCTTCCTTCCTTCCTTCCTTCCTTCCTTCCTTCCTTCCTTCTTTCTTAATTACCTGCCATGTTCCAGGCATTATTCATTTAGGTACTGTGAATACAGTAGTAGTAAGCAAATAAAGGTCTTGCCCTTTATGGAGATTATAGTGGGGAGAGTTAGCTAAATACCAAACAAATGGCTACTCCCGTTAACCATTGCCGCATAACAAAATGCCCCCAAACTCAGTGGTGTGAAACCGTAACCTTTTTTAGGACTCTATGGGTCAGGGATTTGAGCAAGGCACAGCAGGATCAGTGCATATCTGCTCTACAATGAACTGCGGCTCAAATGGGCTGGCTGGAACAGCTGGAGGTGAGTGGGATGGTTTACTTGGTGCCATGTATCTGAAACCTTAGTTCTGGACGCTGGCCCGTGTTGTGGATTGAACTGTGTCCCCTCACCTTGCCCAATACATTGAAATTCTAACCCTTAGGACCTATGAATGTGACCTTATTGGAAATTAAGTCTTTGCAGGTGGGATTAAGATGAGGTCACACTGGATTGGGGCGGGGGGGCTTTCAATCCAATGATTGGTATCCTTATTAGGAGAGAGAAAGATTTGGAGCCACATAGCCACATTCACTGAGAAGAAGGCTATGTGATGAGAGAAGCAGAGATTGGAGTAGCATGACTGCAAGCCCAGGAACACCAAGAATTGTCAGCAGCCCCCAGAAGCTAGGACGAGGCCAGGAAAGATTCTTCCCTAGCGAATTTAGAAAGAGCATGGCACTGCCAACACCTTGATTTCAGACTTCTAGCATCCAGAACTCTGAGAGAATACATTCCTGTTGCCAGAAGCCACCTAGTTTGAGATTTTGTAGTTATTGCAGCAGTCCCAGGAAACAAAGACAGCTGGGCTTCCTGATTGTCCTGCACATTACACCTGCTGAGGTTGGGATGTCTGGGGTCTCTCCTTGGCCCACTGGTCTGGTGTCTCAGCTGAGATGGCTGGAACATCTGGGGCTCTCTCCACATATGGCATCCGTGCATCAGTAGCATGGGTGTCCCCAGAGCATGGCAGTCTCAGTGCAGGAGGAGTTTTACATGGCAGCTGGTTTCCCCAGAGCCGGTTTCCCAAAGCCTGGACCTAGAACATGGCACAGCATGATTTCCACCACATTCTATTGGTCAAAGCACTCACAGAGCCACTCGTGTTCAAGAGGTGGAGATACTGGGCTCACCTCTTTAAGCCACCCCAATGACCATGGATGATATGTGATTTGAGGAGGTCCTAAAAAGAAACCCCTGTCCCTTACCTGCCCCGATATACCACGGAAGATGCCTTATCCTTTTCTTCATTAGCCATAGGGTCCTGGGAAATGTAGTATTGTCTCTATGGGATTGTCTCAGCGAATCAGAGGAAACATGAAGTCCTCAATACTGTGCCCCAAGAGTGCCATTGAAATGATAGTTCTGGTTTTTTCTTAGTCTGATGGCATCCTAGGAAAAATAGCCTAGCCTTTATCTCTTGCCACCAGGGCACCAGGGAAAATGTAGTCCTGTCCTTCCTTCTTCCTTACTGCAGGGCCTCCAGGGAATTCTGGCCATCAGATTATCCCTCTCATTTATCTCCTGTCTCAGAGACCCCCCAGGAAATGCAGATGCCTCTCCTTAGAACAACAAAGTAGTCTTGACCTTTGGAGCTGGGGAGAAGAGACTGGAAAGTTAGTGCTTGGGTAAGTGAACTGGAGCCCAGAAATAGGAGGGCAATGTGGAGGTGGCTTAGGTGGAGGCACACCTAGAACTGCTCCCAAGGCTGGGGGCCAAGTGCTTGGGTTCTACAATGTGACCCCTAATCCCAGGAACTGGATGAAAAGTGCCCCCCCATTCATTGTTGCAAAGATTGATGCTAGGGAGGAGGGAAGATCGGGTCTTGTTCATTGGTATAAAAATCTTTATTTAAGTATAAAATATTAAATAAAACAAATATTAATTAATAATAACAACGGTGCAACACTGCTAACATAATAAACCTCTCTTGCTGGCCTGCGGTCTTTCTTCAGCTTTTCTCTCCTGGTTCTGCAACTCTGTGAGACAGGTGTCTTAACGGCTGGGAAAACAGACCCAGAGAGGGTGGCACACTGGCCTGAGGTCACACAGCAAGTCTGCAGGGCTGGGAGCTGAGGGCAGCTGACCTCCCTGGATCCAGCCAGGGTAGGGGGAGTGGGGGATCAGGTCCAGAGGAGAGTGCCTCCCCATAGTCTGGCAGTTAGTAGCAAGGTGATGGTGAGGCTGAGGTGGGCAGGACCAGGCCGGGGGGCACCGCCTATGCGAGGCTGGTGATCCAGGATTGGGTGGTTACAGCTGTTGTCAGTACAGCATGAGACATTGAGATGGGTCATGCTGAAGGCTTCAGCCACGTGGAGACTCTGGCACCATGAGGGGGTCGCACAGCCTCGAACTGTGTAGCTCGGATTGCCCAGCCCTGAGGAGAGAGAAGACTGCATGAGACTCCCAGCTCCTGGGGCTGGGCCTGCAGTGCTCACGGGTGACATGCCACCTTGTGGTGGATGCCACCCGAAGAAAGCAACAGTTTCAAGTGTGGTCCCTCAGACCCTTTCGGGGGAACCAAGAAGTCAAAACTACTCTCATAATAATGCTAAAGCATCATTTGACTTTTCCACTCTTGTAAGTGCACAGTGGGTTTTCCAGAAACCCTGGGACATGTGACCTCCAGCTGACTGAATGCAGAGCCCGATATGAGGTTTCAGCTGTCTTCTATCGAGCCGGACATTAAAGAGATTTGCAAAATAGTAGAACAATGCTGGTCTTCTTGTTAAATGTTTCCATTTTGGAGACTTATTTTTTTTCTAGTAAAAAATATGTTCACATGGAATGAGGTTTTATTTTATATTTATATTTTTTATATTTATCTTTTCTATAACCCACTGGAAAACCCACATGGAGTGGGGTTTTATTTTATATTTTATATTTAAAATAAATTAATAGCGATGCCTGGGTGGGTCAGTAGGTTAAGCGTCCAACTCTTGGTTTTAGCTCAGGTCATGAGATCAAGCTCTGTGTCCGGCTCCACACTGGGTATGAAGCCTGCTTAAACTTCTCTCTTCCTCTCCTTCTGCCCTCTCTCCCTCCCCTATTCACAGGCTCTCTCTCTCTCTAAAAATAATAAATTAATAATTAATAAATACATCTCTTAAGATACCTCAGTTTTAACTCTTGATGCAGTAAATATCTATAGATATAACTGACATAAGTAATAATTTTTAAAAGCACAAAAGAGTTTTGAGATGAAAAGGTGTGACAATCACTGGAGTGGGGAGACATGCCCGGAATGGCCCAGGATGAAAGCCCAGATGTCCGTGAAGTCCCTTTGCTTGTGGGAAGTCCCATGCCCAGAGAAGTCCACATTTCTGTTGCTGAAACACCTGCTTTTTTTTTTTTTTTTTTAAGATTTTGTTTACTCGTGAGAGAGGCAGACACATAGGCAGAGGGAGAAGCAGGCTCCCATATGGGACTCATCCCAGGACTCTGGGATCACGACCTGAGCCAAAGGCAGATGCTCAACCACTGAGCCACCCAGGTGCCCCAAACACCCACTTCTTAATGAAGTCCTAATTCCTGATGACACTTTGCACCCCCGTGAAGGAAGGCCTCTCTTTCCCACAGGAAGACCCACCTCAGCAAAGTCAACCTCTAGCCAACAACCCCTGCCCACAAGTATCCTCTCCCAGCCTCCTAGAAGGGCTCACCATTAGTGCCCGTGGCGTCCAGACATTGATTCATGGGGCCTCGGCAGGCAATTAAGGAAGTCTCTTCAGAGGAACAACCATGGGTGCTGTTCCCCTCACAGCCGTAACACTGGAGGCCGTTCAGAGGCAGGTTTTGAAGCTCCAGGACTTGGAAGAAGACAAGCGACACAGAAACCAAGGAAATTAGTCTGGAGGTGTGGGCAGGGGAGGGGTGGAAGGGTGTCCTTCCTTGTATTACCCTCCCCTAGAACTGTCAACTTGCAGCTTGAGATGTCATGGAGCCACCTTGTGGTCAGGCCTTGGAAAGGCACTGTCTTCTGGGGGGTTCTTTCTAGAACCTGTGAGAGAAATCCCACCTGCCGGCTCCTCCTCAGGCCCTATCTGATCAGGCGAGCAGCTGTGGAAGATGAAACAGTCCCTGCCCTACAGCACTGACCACTTAGAGCCACATTGTCCAATATGGTAGCCACTAGCCACGTGCACTTGTTTACATTTATGCTGAAATGAATTCATATTAACTAAAATTCAAAATTCAGTTCCCATTGCAAGTGCTCAATAGCCATACGAGTTGGTGGCTATCATATTGGACAGTACAGATGTAGCACATTTCTATCACCATGGAAAGTTCTGTTGGACGGTACTGGTTTATAGAGGCAGAATATCACGAAGGAGCGAGATTATAGTGGAGGGGAGGGACAGGGAGTGTTTCCCTGAGGACGAAATTTAAATCCAAGACCTAACAAATGAGAAGAAGCCAGCCAGGTAAACTCATGGGGGAGTCGTGTTCCTGGTGGAGGGTACCTCGTGTGCAAAGGCCACGAGGCAGGATGGAGTTTGGCAGGTGCAGAAACTCAATGTAGATCGTCAGGCAGATGGGTGCCGGATTACACAGAGCACAGGAAGGTCTTTGGATTTTATTTTGAGAGCAAGAAGTGGCTGCAGTGCTTGAGGATGGAGAGTGACATGCTCTGGTTGACATTTTTTTAAAGATTTTTATTTATTTGCTTATGAGAGACAGAGAGAGAGAGAGAGAGAGAGAGGCAGAGACACAGGCAGAGGGAGAAGCAGGCTCCATCCAGGGAGCCCAACGTGGGACTCGATCCCCGGTCTCCAGGATCAGGCCCTGAGCTGAAGGTGGCGCTAAACCACTGAGCCACCTGGGCTGCCCTCTGGTTGACATTTTTAAGAAATCACTCTTGCAGGGCACGCCTGGGTGGCTCAGTGGTTGAGCGTCTGCCTTTGGCTCAGGTCGAGATCCCGGGTCCTGGGATTGAGACCCGCAACAGGCTTCTCGTCAGGAGCCTGCTTCTCCCTCTGCCTGTGTCTCTGCCTTTCTCTGAATAAATACATAAAATATTTTTAAAAATCACTCTTGCTGCTCTGTTGAGCATTGGCTTGTAGGAGGCAAGAGTGGAAGCAGAGGGACCAGCGAGAAGGTTATTGCAACAATCTAGGCAAGAAAAAAAAAAAAAAACAATCTAGGCAAGAGCTCCTGGTGGCATGGACCAGGGCACTGAGCAGTGGAAAAATTCAAGGAAGTATAAAGTTCTTGGCAAAGATTTGGTGGCCTCATTGAATTCCCACATAAGCCTTCTTTGAGGAAGGGCTTTCAGAAGAGAGAGAGACCTAGAGAGGAAGGGGTGGCCTGTGAGTGAGTGAGTGGCAGTAGCCCAGGTACACCTCTGTCCTGACCCCAGACCTCACTCCATGTGGTCCCCTGTCCCTCACCTGGGCCTGCATTGCATTTGGTGGTGTTGCAGCACCGCAGGAAGTGGAAGGTGTGGTTGTTGTGGAAGCCGGTGGGGCCTGGGCAGCCGGGGAGGTTGCCACAGCCGCGGGTGTGGTGCTCATCCCTTGGACTGTCTGTCGGGGGCAGAGGAGAGAGGTCAGATTGTTCAGGGGCTGAGACTGGCTTTGTCCACCACTGCACCAGTCATCTGTCCATTTCCTGCCTCACTGTTCACTATAGGAGCCTCGTTTTATTTGGGGCAGCCATATATCGAGCCAAAAAACACATTTTCCAGCCTCCACAGGTATAATCATGTAGCTAAGTCCTGGCCAATATGATATAAATAGAAGACTTCATGAGACTTCCAGAAAGGAGAACCTTCACAAAAGGAGGGGTGCCTACTTTTTGTCCCTCTTCCTCTTTCTCCTTCCTGGAACTTGGACATGAGGCCTGGAGCTCTGGTGGCCATCTTGGACAATGAGGCAATCTTGAGAATGGAAGCCAATATACAAGCAACATGAAAGTATCTGGGTTCCTGGTGACAGTAGAACTGTCCTGTGGCTCAGGACTTTCTATCATGGGACTTTTTTTTGTGTGAGAGAACTAACTTTCTACCTTGCTTAAATACTTGTTATTCTGGGGTCATTGTTAAGGGTGGCTTTGGGGTGGAACAAAGCAGGGAGGAGGAGCTGCTGGCAGGAAGAGCTCACCTTCCAGGCCCCTGTCGGTCACCACTTCCACACACTGTTCTGTAGGGCTGCGGCATTGCAGGCTCTGGTCCCAGCCCCTCTCACAGCTCAGATCTGAGGAGCCGCAGGAAACACATTCGAGGTACCGGCTTCGGGTTCGGGGAAAGGTGGAAACCCGACCTGTTTGGGGAGAGGCGGGATGGTGAGACTCCATGAGAGAGTTCGGGAAATCTAGCTCCCTTGAAGGTTCACCTTAGCATCAATTCCTCCTAATCTCACCTTTCAGTCAATCATCAAAGCCTTGCCCATCCTACCTCCTGTATCTTTCTAGCATTCATCCCCTCCATCCCCAAGACCAGGTCAGAACTCCTTCAATACCAGCTTCCTCCCTGGCCTCCTGCTTTTCATCCTTGCCCCCGACCCCACCCACTGCATCCCCACATGGCCCTAGAAGGATGTTTCTAATACTCACATCTGATCCTGCCTCTGCTCTGTTCAAAACCCCTCCATGGCTCCCCCGTGCCCTCGAATAAAATCCAAGCTACTCAGTGTGGCATTCAAGGCCAATCGACATCTGGGTCCGGGCTACCTCTCTTGCCCATCTCTCTCCACTAACCCTTCAGACTCTACTCCCCATGACCTCCACATTCTCTGAATGTACATGCTGACTGGCATCCAGCCTTTGCCAGGAACATGCTTCCTTGGCCCCTTACTTTCCCTGTCTCCTCCTACTCATTCTTCGGGCATCATCTCAAATTTCACCTCCTCTGTGAAGCGCTCCCTGACCTCCGAGGCTGGATCAGATGCCCCTCTGGGCTCCCCAATCCCAGCCATGCCCACTTTGGGTCATCCCTGTCTGACTGGACTCTGAGCCCTGGGGTTAGGACCAGGGCTGTCCTGATCATTACTGTGTCCCAACACCACCCAGCACAGGGCCAGGGCCAGTGCCAGGGCCAGAAAAGACATTCAGTAAATATTTGTTAAATGAATGAATGAATAATTGCTTAAAACCCTGCTGTTGTTTCCTGTGGTCGCCAATCTCCAAGAAGGCCCACTGGTAGGCAAGCTTCCTGGTAGGCATGCGCAAAGAATAGGGCTGACCTGTGTCATTAATGGGATATTGCGGAAATGACCACATATGACTCCTGTGCTAGATCATAAAAGGCGTCAAACTTCTTCCTGGCTCTCTCTTGGATTACTTGGTCTGGAGGGAATCCAGCTGTCATGTGGTTAGGACACTTAAACACCCCGTGGTTAAGTCTACGTGGCAAGGAACTAAGGCCTTTGTCCAAGCCACAGAGCAGACCATCCATGTGAGTAAAGCTCCCTCGGGAGCCTTCCAATGACTGTAGCTCAGCTGTCCTCTTGACTGCAGCCTCATGAAAGATCTAGAACCACCTACTTAAGCCACTTCCAGATTCTTGAGTTTCAGAAACTTTGTGAAATAATACATGCTCATTTTTGTTTTAAGTTTTGGGACAATCTATAATGTGGTGATAGATAATTAATACACTACCTGATTATGTCAGGGATCCAAGCCTCACTTGGTTGGTTTGTGATAACTCTACCTCTCACACCTGCTGGTCCAGGCCAAGTGGATGAATTATTTTTCCCTGGAAACACTATAGTCATTCCTCTGGCCAGGCCTTGGCTCACACCATTCCAAAGCCTGGCATGCCCTCCTTCCTGACCCCATATATCCAGCTGAGTTGGGGCCAAGTCTTACATAAGGGAGAGGGCAGTCTCAGCTACTCTCTCAACTGGCAGGCCAGCTGCTGGAATTAGGTGAATCATTCAACATCCAAAGCCAAATCTTCCCCAACCCTAAAGAAATAAGTAAAATGCCAACAACTCATGTCTTTTCACATGAGTTTCCATGAAAATGAAAACACAAATTGCCATCACTACCATCATACCACCCTTGGGTTGCCTTGTGAACTCTTCTTCTTATGTCACTCTTCTAAATGTGGCTGATCCTCATTATTTTGTCTTAGGCCCTTTTCATTTCTCGTGATGCACACTTTCTCCCATGGGGATGTTATCCATTGACCTGGCTTCATTTCCACATGTTTGCTGGGAACTCACTGCAGGCAGGACTCCTCTCTGAGCTCCACACTTGTACACTCATTTGCCTCTTGGTGGCCCTCTGGCCATCTCTCAAACACCTGGAGTCTCTACATGCCCCCAAGGAAGCTTTCCATTTTCTCCATCTTCTCCAAACTTGTCCTTGTCTCCTGAATTCCATATCTCTGAGGTGGTCCCATTCAGTCTCCCAAAGCAGAAACCTGGCAGGTTCCTTGATCCTCCACATCTAGGCATCAATCTGAAGACTTTTACTGACCTGTCTTCTAGTTCTTTAATCCTTTTGCCTCATTGCCTCTGGTCTTCATTAAGTACATCTATTGAGTTCTTAATATCAGTCCGTATTCTGTGTTTCCTGTTTGACTCTTTTAAAAAATGGGACCCACATTTCTGCTAAAACTTGTCCTTTCCTCTATTTTTTTGGACTATATTGATCATGGCTATTTTAAATTTTCCTGTTTAATAACTCCACTATCTGAATCATTATGAGTCTGTTTCTACTATTGGATTTTTCTCTAGGTTTCCAGTTTATTGGTCCTTTTAATTTTCTTTGGGATGCTTTGTAAATTTTTATTAGATTCCAGGCATCCAAATGAAAACTTGTAAAGGCTCTAAATAATGTTATTTTCTTCCCAAGAAGGTCAGGTTTTCTTCTCGCTGAAGATCAGGTGTAGGTGTTTTTAGGGCTGGTTTCTTTTAGTTTTGCCCTTATGCCTAGGGTATGGTCTCAGAGGAAAGCTTGGGATGGTTACCAAGGCCTCTCTCTCTAACTTGGCAACTTTGGTTTCCCCAGCATCATATGCCTGCTGGAATCCTCGTTCAATTCTGTCGCTTCCCAGATACTATTTTCTGCTGAGTTTCTTGGAGTCTCACCCTCTGCATATATGGCTTGCCAGGAAATCTGCAGATTTGGGGACTCCCTTTTCTGTGGTTCCATTCGTTCCAGGATTCTACCTTTCATTTTCCAGACACTCTGGCAACCCTAGACTCTAACCCCTGTCTTCTCAGTCTAGCAATGATCTCTCTTATTTGGGTTTTATTTCCCCTTCACAGTAGTGAATTGGGAAGTGCACTCAAGGATTAAGCCAGCTTTCCACGGAACTCAGTTTCTGTGCTTCTTTTTATTTCAAAGATTGTAGCACTGCAAGTTCCTCTCTTCATCAGCTGCTCTCCACTGACCTCAAGTAATTGTTTATCATGTGTCTAGCTTTTCTTTCATTGGCAGATTAGTTTGATACATGTGACTCCATCATGACCAGAATTGCAAACCCACCCCCATGTCTAATCCACCAAGTCCTGTTCATCTACCTGCTAACTAGTTCTTGAAATCCACTCACTTCTCTCCATGTGCAGGGTTGACATTCTAATGCATTCACGCTCTTCTTCATCTGGACAGCCTTACCCACCTCCAAGTTGGACTGCCTTCATCTACTTTTCCTCCATCATTGCTTTCCTCTGAGGTCAGAATAATTTGTTCAAGAATACAAATCTGATCATGATACTCTCTGCTTAAAACTCTTTTATGGCTGAGGCACCTGGATGACTCAGTTGGTTGAGTGTTAGACTCCTGGTTTCCACTCAAGTCATGATCTCATTATTGTGGGATCAAGCCCCTCCCCCTGCTCATGCTCTCTCTCTTGCTCTCTCTCTCAAATAAATAAAAGAATCTTAAAAGAAAAAAAAAAATACAAAACCCTTGGGGCACCTGGGTGGTTCAATTGGTTAAGTGTCCAACCTCATGATTTCAGCTTAGGTCATGATATCATGGGTCATGATATTGAGCTCTGAGTTGGCCTCTTCTTTCAGCCAGCTGGGTGTCTGCTTGAGATTCTCTCCTTCTGCCCCTCCCCGCCACTCTCATACTTACGGGCTCTCTTGCTCTCTCTTTCTAAAATAAATAAATAAATCTAAAAAGCAAACAACCAAAAAATCCTTTTATGACCTCCCACTGTTGCCTGTATGGTCTATATTCCTCACCACAGCCTACAAGGCCCTGTGTAATATGACCCTGCCAATTTCACCAGCTCCTCTTGCCCTGTTTTATCCCTTTCTCCAGCCACATCACTTTCATCTACCTCTGGGCTCTTGTGTCTGTTGATTTTCCTAAAAAACTCTTTCCATTGTCTTTTTAACAGTCTTACTCCTACTCATCCCTCAAGATGCAGCTTAGTTATTGCTTCCTGTAGGAAAACTTCCTTGACCCAAGTACAGTTTCTCCCCTAGGGTCCCACAGCCCCTACTCTTCATCCATCTCAGCCCTGATCACTCTGGCCTCTGTCTCCCTTATCTCAGCCATGAAAATTCTGGACTGTACTTCCCAACTACAGCTCTGACCCCTCTAAGACCAGAGAGCTCATGGTTCTGATCCCTCTGCCTGTGCTTCCCATCCTGGTTCTGACTAATCTGAGCAGTCGATGTCTGGTGATGGGTCTGTCACTCCTATTCCCACCCTACTGGACTGTAAGCCCATGGTAAGGCCCAAAGCTAACTTGGTCACTTCTGTATGCCAGTTTCACATAAATACAGGATGTGGTTTAACCAACTATTCTGGTCACCACAAACAGGGTAAAATGGCCTTAGAAACGGTGGGGGGGGGGGAGCTGTGGGGCACCTGGATCACTCAGTGGTGGAGTGTCTGCCTTTGGCTCAGGTCATGATCCCAGGGTCCTGGGATCAAGTTCTGCATCAGGCTCCCCGTGGGAAGTCTGCTTCTCCCTCTGCCTATGTCTCTACCTCTCTCTCTGTGTCTCTCATGAATAAATAAATAAAATCTTTAAAAAGAGAAAAGAAATGGGTGGCTGATATTGCTTTACCACTTACTACATTACCAAACTGACAGTTGCTTTCTCAAGCTTGCTGTTGGACCCCTGACCACTCCCAACTCTCTCTGTAGAACCCCATGCCTCCAAGATCCATCAGCTACAGCGAGGGCTGTGGGATTCTTCTGATTGGTCAATATCTTCTGCATTGACTGATATTGTTAAATATTTTTAATATTATCTATGATTAGGAGAATCACTTAGACTTGATTATCAGTACTTCCCTTAAGCACATCTAACAAAAAGATGAAGCTGTGCCCTCTCTCTTGTCATTTCCTTGATAATAAACATCTGATTCAGTCTCTGCCAGAGAAAGTTTGAGGTCAGGATGGATGAACAAGAAATAGGGCAAACGTAGGTGCTCTGCTTACTGACGTCATTGTGACTGGTCTGGTCTTAACCAATTTCCTTCCTTACCAGGCTCAGAAAGAGGAATCCGAATGCATGACCAAGCAACATGCATCCATGCTTCCCACCCTCTCCTGTGGAAACTGGAGAATTTGAGCTTTTCTAAGTCTTTTTGTTAAACTGACATTTGAGAGTTGGGCTGGTGGGGAGACAGTCAGGAGGATGATGAGTACGGGGTTGGGGATGGTGAGGGCTGCCCAACTCACCAGAGGTGGGTTGGTTGCACAAGTTGGTCCCACATACGGCTTCCGTAAGAGTGATGATCCTCATGCCTGTCCGATAGCTCATGGTCCTGTTGCTCTTCTCTGGGTGGGTACAGCCTCTCTCCACCACCTCCAGCTCATCACCATCTGTGAGGAATGTGTCTTTGTTATCCCAAAGGCTCCCCCAGGCCCAACCAGCCTCTGGCACTCCTGACCATAAGGTCACCCACTTCTGGGGCTGATCCTTGCCAGGCCTCTGCTCTTGGGTCCAACTGTCTCCCCTCCTCATCCTCCCATCACAGGGGGCCTACCATCTCTTAGTGGCCACACTATCACTGAGGCCGACTGGATCCACCCTTCTCTCCCAGCTTAAATTTGAAAGATACAGTTAAAGTCTTCTGTTCATCTCCCTAAATCCCATTCCCCTTATGCCCTGTCCAGAAGCAAGCACTGGTGTAGGTAATTCCCACACTAGATATGCATAACAATGTATACTATTATTTATTTATACATTATTTATTGCATATTGTTATATACTATTTATATGAAAAGGTACCATACCCTGCAACATGTTTTTTTTTCTCTCAACCTGATGTTTTTGAGATGTATCCACTTTAATATCTACAGCTCAAGTTCCTTCATTTAAACTGCTGTGGAGCATTCCACTGTGTGATTATACCGTAATGTTTCTCCTCTGCTGATGACTAATCCATACCACAAACATGATTGCTAAGAACATTTTTATACATGTGTCCCTGGGCATGTATGTCTGAGGTTCTTCGAGGTTTCTATACTCCTAGGAAATTAAATTGCTGTCTCTAGGGTATGCTAATCTTCATCTGCACTAGATATTGCCAAATTGCTCTGTGCAGTGGATGCACCAATTTGTCCCCATTAGCAGGGTCTGCAGCTCCGCAACCTCATCCATCCCAGCACTGTCAGATTTTTAAATGCTTGTCAAACTGGTAGGTATGAAATTGGATCTCCTTGTCTTTTTTGTCTGCATTTCTCTGATTACTGGTGAAATAAGGTTTCTTGGTCACTTGAGTTCCCTGTTGCTCTGTAGAGGGGGAGCCCACCTTCCCATATGCGCATGATCGTGGTCCTGCAGAGGTCCTGGCCAGGGGTACACTCTTCCACCTGGCATTTCCCAGTACTCCCACACAGCATGCACTGCAGGCTCCAGGAGACTGGGTGGGGAAGAGGAAAGAGAGCAGAGATTGTTACAGCTCTGTGCCGCGATCTCCCCCTGCCCCCTTCATGCCCCAACACTAGGACCAAGTCTCCAGGCCTTGGGTGCTCAGGTTCGGGCTCCACATTCTTCCCGCCCCCCAGTTCCAACACTGGGTTCGGGTCAGCAGTACTTCCGGTCTATCTCTAGCCCAACGTTTTATCTACACCCCCTACCATAAAGCTCTATACCCTCTCATAATCCTTCCCTAAAGTTCTGTCCTGGCTCATTTTCCCTTGAATTCTGTATCAGCGCGCGGCCTACCCTGAATCCAATCCCACCCTCTTTGTGGATTGGGACGTTATAGCCCAGCTCCAGTTTAGATCCTTTCCCCCACCCCACTGGCCTACGGTCTATTCTGCTTCTCAAAGTCTCCTAAGGGTGTTCTGCTCTCACTCAACTGCAACTGACCTTTACAGTCTATTACAGTTCCCAGTGCCCTTCACTGACTGTCACCCCATTAATGCCCCCTTTCCACAGCCTCTCCCCATCGTTCTCTCCCCGCTCATCAGTCCAGGCCGAAGTTCTAACTCCGCCCATCAGCCCTGGGGAGGATCTTTTTTGTTTGTTTGTTTGCTTTTTAAAGATTTTATTTATTTATTCATGAGAGACACAGAGAGCCAGAGACATAGGCAGAGGGAGAAGCAGGTTTCCTGGAGGGAGCCCTATACAGTACTCCATCCTAGGATCCTGAGGATCACGACCTGAGCCAAAGGCCGGCGCTCAACCACTGACCACCCAGGTGCTGCACTAGAGAGGTTCTAGCCCCAACTGTAGCCTCCTCAAAGTTCTCTACCCCCAGCTCCTCCTCCAGATTCTCCCCCCACCCACTAGCTCTTCCTGAGGTTGTCTCCCCGCCTCCACAGCTCCTCCCCCGAGGGCCTCTCCCCGCCCCCAGCCCCTCCCCAGGTCCTCTCCCCACCCCCAGCCCTGCCCCCCGAGGTTCTCTCCCCGCCCCCGCCCCGCCCCCAAGGTCCTCGCCCCGCCCCAGCCCCGCCCCCGAGGTCCTCGCCCCGCCCCAGCCCCTCCCCAGGTCCTCGCCCCGCCCACTGGCTCCTCCCGAGGTTCCAGCCCCGCCCAGTAGCGCCCCCCGTAGTTATTTCTTGGCGCCCTAGCGCCGCCCCGGCGCCTTTGCCCGCACGCCAGGCCTCCCCTGCTGCGACCCGTTGCCCCCCTCCACACGCGCAGTCTTCCAGAGTCATTACTCATTCTTGGCCGCGAAAGGTCCGGAGAGCTTTCCGGGTTATTCACCGGGGAGCCGCTCCGCAACCCCCGGCTCTCTCTCGCCCGGCCCTGACTCAGTTCCTTCTCAGTTCCTTCTCGCTTTTCAACCCTCTCCCGTACATTTTCCGAGAGAGGAGTTGGGAGGGTAGCTAGGGGAGAGCGAAAGGGAAGGGTCCTCCAGGGACGAGCCCTGGATCCCCAGCCCCCGTCTCTGCGACTTCCGCCTCGGTCCTCGGGGTCTCTCAAGGGGCTGGGTCGGTGCGGGGACCGGGTGGTGCGGGGAGAGCCGTGGACGCCCCTGCGGGGCCAGGCTCGCACTCACTCAGGGCTGGAGGTAGGTTACCTCTCTACGGGGTTAAAAGAGTTTGGGCCGTCCAGTTTGAAACTGCACGGAAGGAGCTTAGAGGGGCGCATGGAATAAAGAGCGCGCTCACTCCACGGTGGCTGCTATTAACCGCCCTTGCTCCGCTCCTATTTTCTGAGCACCTACTGTGTGCCAGGTATACTGCTGTGTGCGGCTGCAGATGGCAGGAGGAATTATTATGCGAGTGGGAGGGCTGGGGACTGAGCCCTCTTCCAACTCATCACACTCTGGGCACCCCGCTCCCGCTCGTCCCTCCTCTACTGCGTCCCAGTTCCCAGCGCAGGCGTTTGGGCACCCAGGCCCTACCTGGAACGCAGGTCTGAAGCAACAGCCCCAGCAGCGGCAGCAGCAGCGGATGGCCCATGTCTGGAAGCAGCTCCTGTCTGTGGCTCCCTGCACCGCTCCGTCTGGCCCAGGGAAGGAGACAGTTTTGTGGCCCCGGGGCTCCTCCCAGAGATTTTACGAAAGAGCGAGTCAGCCCCAGATGCGTGGGTGCTTCCCCCTCCTCCCCCACTCACCCCTCCTCTTCAAACACTTCCTTTGCCAGGGCGCGGCCGGCCAGGAGTAGGGGGCTGGCTCTGCTGTGACTCATGTGGCCACGGTCACAGCTGTCTCCAGGCTGCCAAGGTGCAAATTCCACTTCTCCTTCCTCCTGCTACGGGACCTCAGCACGGGACTAAAACTTGTCCTGGTGGAATCAGAGAGCGACACAAACCATAAGAATCTCTTAACTCTAGGAAACAAACAGCGTTGTTGGAGGGGAGGTGGGTGCGGGAATATTAGAGTACTGGGTGTTATATACAACTGATGGATCACTGAACTCTACCTCTGAAGCTAATAATACACTATATGTTAACTGAATCTAAATAAAATAAAATAAAATAAAATAAAATAAAATAAAATAAAATAAAATAAAATAAAATAAAATAAAATAAAAAACTTGTCCTGATGGGACATTTGTGGCTGATCATTAGTTATTGTTAGGATTTTTGTTAGTTTTGTCAGGAAGGATAATGGTGTTGTGGTTACATGGGGGAAATGTCTTTATCATTAGAGATGCACACTGTAATATTTGGGGGTGAAATAATGTCTCTAATTTGACTTAAAACACTTCAGTCAAGAAGTAGATATTACTGCTATGAAAATGGTTTTGTGGTTATGTGGGAAATTGTTTTTAGTCTTTACAGACATTCACTGAAATATCTGGAGGTGAATGTCACTGATGTCTGCATTTACTTTAAAATGCTTCAGAAAAAAAAGGAAGGAAAAATACATGTATCAGTTCTGAGGGTAACTTACATGCCATTGTCTTTCCTTCTGTGTGTTTGTAAAGGTCCTCATTAAGTTTTTTAAAACGTGAAATAAAGGATGCCTGGGTGGCTCAGTCAGTGGTTGAGCATTTGCCTTCAGCTCAGGTCATGACCCCAGGGTCCCGGAATCGAGTCCCACATCAGGCTCTCTGCAGGGAGCCTGCTTCTCCCTCTGCCTGTGTCTCTGCCTCTCTCTCTCTGTCTGTGTCTCTCATGAATAAATAAATATATATATTTTAAAGTGAAATAAAACATCGGGTTGCCTGGGTGGCTCAGTTGGTTAAGCGGCTGCCTTGATTTCCCCTCAGGTCATGGTCTCAGGGTGGTGAGATGGAGCTCTGCATCCTGTTCTGCATGAAGCATGGAGCCTGCTTAAGATTCTCTCTCCCTCTCCTCCCTCTGCCTCCTCACCCCTGGCCTCCTACTCACATGCATTCTCTCTCATCTTCCTAAAAAAAAAAAAAAAAGTAAAATAAAATGTAAAAGATAATATCCTCCAGTCTCTTCATCTCTTCATGCTTCTGACCAATTAGAGCAAATTAATGCAGGTGAAAATGCCTGAAACAGTGGCTGGCCTACTAGGAGGGCTCAACAAATTCCTTCAGCCTTTACCAAGAACCTACTTTGTACCAGGCACTGGTTCAGGAGGAGCTGGGGACACAGCAGGAAACAAAGCAAAGTCCCTGCCCTTGACAATGAAGAGTAAACATGTGTTATTTAATCTCTGGCTCAGGCAGTGATAAGTAACTTCACAGAGAATGACAAACCAGGATGTTGGAAGTAGAAAGGTATAAGTGAGTGAAGGTTGGTTTTAGGTGAGGTGATGCTACAGGGCTTCCCTGATCAGGTGGCATTTGAGCAGAGGCTAAGTGTGGTGAGGGCAGAAGTTGGGCAGATGGTCCAAGTAGAGCTGCAGGGAGAGGCAACAGCCAGTGCAAAGGTCCTGAGGTGGCAGCGTACTGATGAGATCTAGGAACAGCAGAGCTGCCAGTGTGGCTGGAACAGAATAGGGAAGGGAGAGGGTAGTAGGCAATGAGTAGTAGCTACCTCTACACTCTAATAAGGAGTGTAGTATTGTTTTTTTTTTTTTTTTTTTTTTTTTTTTTTTTAGGAGTGTAGTATTGTTATTCTTATTAATTAATTAAAGCTTTAAGGTAATAATTTTACCTTATTCATGAGAGAGAGAGAGGCAGAGACACAGGCAGAGGGAGAAGCAGGCTCCAGGCAGGGAGCCCGACGTGGGACTTGATCCCGTGTCTCCAGGATTAGGCCCTGGGCTGAAGGCAGCGCTAAACTGCTGAGCTACCCGGGCTGCCCTAAGGTAATAATTTTAAGGTAAAGCAAGAACAATCCCAAAGAAATCCTCTCTTCTAACAGGCAGTAGAGCCTAGTGTTTGAGATGTGGAGGCTGCCACCAGACTGGGAGGGTTCAAATTCCAGCAACTCACTACTGTGTGGGCTTGGGCAGGTTACTTAACCTCCCTGTGCATTCAGCCCCTTAATAAGTGCGTGTCTCCCAGGGCTGGTGTGCTAGGGACATAAAACAATGCACCCAGGGTGCTTGCCACCCTGCCTGGCGTGTGGTACGTGCTCAGTAAAAAAACTCTAACTGCCATTGGTTATGGTTGGGCCTGGCTCTCCAGAGCTTCTGGGGACGGGGGTGAGGGGTGGAGAGGTGGCAGTGGGGAGGGAGGTGGAGAGGTGTTACGAGTTTGAGGCAGGAGTTGTCATGCTGCCAGCTATGGGACTGGACTGCTCCCTAGCTTGGTCACCCTGGGCCAACAGATGCTTTTCCTTGCCAGCCTCGATTGTTCCCTCATGTGGAAAGTGGGGCCCCTCTTGGGGTTGATGCAAAGACTGAGGGGGGAATAGAAAGTTGGGGTGTTGGGCCAGGCGGGCTTATGATCCAGCTTCCTGGCACGATGACCTCACTGCCCCCCGCACCCTAGCTTTAAGAAGATTTTATTTACTTATTGGAGAGAGAAGGAGCAGGGGGAGGGGCCGAGGGAGAGAGAAGCAGACTCCCCGATGGGCAGGTAGCTCGATGTGGGGCTCGATGTGGGGCTCTATCCCAGGACCCCGGGATCATGACCTGAGCCAAAGGCAAAAGCTTAATGGATAGCCACCCAGGCACCTCTCTCACTGCCCCTTCTATTCGCGCTTTTATGTGCAGAATTTAGCCATCCATCCCCATCTCAGACTGTGCTAGTATCTCAAAATCTGTCTGTTGTTCCCCTCCTGTGTCTCTCCATCTCTGTCTTTTTCTGCTTTGTTCTTTGTCTTGGTCTCTGTCTCTGTTTATCTCTCCCGATCCTTCTCTCTCTCTCTCTCTCTCTCTCTCTGACTTTCTTGCTCTATGTCTTCCTGCCTGTGTCTCTGTGTCTTTTTTCTGTCTCTGTCTCTATCTCTGCTTCTCTCTTTTCTGTGTCTCTGTTTTTAGAGTCTCTCCAGGGCTGTCTCTCTGTTTCTGTCTCTGTCTCTGTGTGACTCGTTCCCTCTGTCTCTCCCTTAAGTGACACACACCTGTGAGGTCCAGTGACGTGTCACGGGAGGGAGCAGGTGGGAGGCTAGGCCTGTGCACAATCCCAGAAAAGCGGCAGGAATGTCAACTCTTTCCTCCTCGTGACTCACCTGGGCCTCGCCCAGCTCCTACCTGCCTGCTGGGTCCTGAGGGAGGCCCACAGGTTTCGGGGGCTTCCCCGGGGCTGAGGAGGGGAGAATCTCCTGCAGAGTCAGAGACGGAGAGAGATCTAGAGAGACAAAGGGCAAAAGACGTGAGATAGAGGGAGATGGTGAGAGAGGAGGATGGAGACCCCAGGGCAGTGAGTGAGGGAGAGAGATCTCTCTCTCCACCTGAAAGAAGGACAGAGATGGTGAGACAGGGGGAGTTGGAGAGAATGACATCTGATTATTCTCAAAGAGAACAGGTAGAGACACAGAGAAACTGCGTCCATCTGGGACCCTCCTCAGCCTCTTTTTTCTTTCTTTTTTTTAAAGATTTTATTTATTTATTCATGAGAGACACAGAGAGAGGCAGAGACATAGGCAGAGGGAGAAGCGGGCTACCTTCAGGGACCCTGATGTGGGACTCGATCCCAAGACCCCGGGATCATGACCTGAGCCGAAAGCAGATGCTCAACCACTGAGCCACCCAGGCACCTGAACTGAAGGTGTGAACACCGAACCCCAAAGAGCCCCAGATCACATGCCCTGGACCGTGTTGAGTGGTACTGTCTGTGGAAAAATGAGTCTTTGCAGATGTGATTATGTCAAGGATCTCAAGATGGGGACATTATCCTGATGATCCACGTGGGCTCTCCATATAATCATAAGTGTCCTTACAGAGGGAGGTGGGTGGACATTTGACTATAGACCAAGGGAAGAGACCAGGGTCAGAGAGGAAAGACGCTTTGCTGCTGGTTTTGAAGGTGGAGGAAGGGACCAGGAACAGAGGGAGGCCAGAGCACCCCTCTAGCTCCTGGAAAAAGGCAAGGTGACCCTGCCCCCTAGAGTCTCCAGAAGAAGCACTACCCTGCTCACACCTTGATTTTGGCCCCTTAAAACTCATTTTTTGATTTCTGGCCTCCAGTGCTGTCAGAGAAAACGTGTCTATTATTTTAAGCTACTAAACTGATGCTAATTTGTTAGGAGGACCACAGGAATCAGATGCCAGAGGCTAAGTCACTTGCCTATGATGGCCTGTAGGCAGAGTCGGGATTTGGACCCAAACAGGCTGGCTCTCGGCCAACAAGCACATAACTATATCACCCTGAGTTTTCCCGCATTGGGGAGAGAAGAACCGGGAGCTAGAAGCCCCCAGGCTCTTTCCATCCTGTCCTCCAACTGGTCCCCTTGGCCATGGCTCCCTCTGGCTTCATGATGTTGAGCTGACCTGCAGAGAGGAGGGGATCTGGAGGAGAAACAAATTGTGCAAAGAAGAAAGGTTTCCTCATCTCTAGCCACCAAAGTTGTACGACCAAGTTGCAGTAGCAGAAATAACTCATTACAATTCAAGAGATAATGATGCTAATAGGCAAAGAGCTCTGGTTAAGGGTGGAAGGAACCTTCCTCCACCTCCCCCATCTCCTCCCCACCTCGACAAAAAAGAAAGAAGAAAGAGACATG